CCAAGAAACAAAAGTACAGAAAGTAATTACAGAAATGTATCCAACATCTTGTACATATATGTCTGCCAGGATATTTAGCCTTCAACACCCATTCACACTAATCTTGAAAAAAGTTTATCTATAACTATTCAAACTAAAATTAACATAAATGGGCACACAGCACCCCCCTCCGGGGCAGTTTGTGGTACAATCTTAGAACGGAAACAAGCAAAAGTAAAGCCTGCAAGCAATATATGTTAGTTTTCGCCTTGAACATGTTCCAGTGTGTGCATGTTTATTTTAAAATAAACTTATTGTTATTACTTATATTGTAAGTCCGATAATATTCCAAAATTGTTTAACATGTGCGTCCTCTAATACACAAAACTCACGCAATCCCGCTAATCGGACTTAGACCCAGACTTTGTGCTGCCGCAGCCGCTGCTGTTCCACTTGGCTGGCGGCCAGACAGCGAGATTGTTGCCACAACTTCGCCGGACAGGGACAGGCGACAAATGGCCCGTTCCCGGGTCGAAAATTAAAATTCGTAGGCCTGTGGATTAGTATATTCAGTTTTTGGGGCCCGGAAATGGGCAACGAGCAGACATAAAAGAAACGGAAAATCGTAAAAAGATATTTGGGTTAGCGCAGATTGTGAAAAAATCATTCAAATAAAACTTTTATTAAAGCAACTGATGTTGAAATAATTATGCGAAATATAAAGAAACTGACGGCCGAAATGGGCTACAACATTCGAGATTATTTGGATATGCATAAAAAGCTAACGACCTTTACTGAAATTTATTAACAACAAATCACGAATTCGCACTCACCCATTGTACTTTGACGCGCAGCATGTCTAGTTTTTTATTTATTTGTTTACAGTTGATTTAAGTTAATTGTTAGGTCACCGGAAATGAATAAATACAACAATAAACAAATTGTTAATTTTGTTTGACACTAACATTAACATTTTTACTAACCAGAGCATACTCAGCATGACATAAGTAATATTATTTATGCGAGTTTTGAGTTTAGCAATAAATTAAAGCTAAATGAAATAATGGAAGAACTTAAAGCATATATGAGCTGGGTAATTTTTGTGTGATATTGTTTAATAAACCAACTAGTTGCTTGGGAATTTCATATGCTTTACATATAAATTAATTAATTATATTGAATAAAAGGTGGTCCAAATAATCAAATAGGAATTTGTCCATTGAAGATTTGTCAGAATGAAAATTGTGCTAAAGATTTTCATAAAATATTCTTAGCGTAAAGTTTCTTTAGCAGCTACAGCATTCTGATCCTGACTATTACTATTTTCAATTAAATTTTTATTCGTGAATAGACCAATTAGCATAGTTACAAGCAGACAGACAAATGGACAGACGAACGGATATGCCCGTTTTTGGCCCCATTTTGAATGGATGTGGTTTTTGTGCATTTGGTTAGGCCGTTAAAATGTTCACCAGACATCTATGCAAACGCATGCACCCCTGCCCGCCCACACCCTGGCGCATCTCGCTCAATTTGTATTCCCTAATCCTATTGAAAATGGGTGAAAGGGTTCAAATATTTTTGTGCAGAAGGAAATATTTGCGAACCCGTATATACGATGAAAATTCTTTCGACTAGTCAGACATTTTCTCTCAAGCAAATATAATTTTTAATTTTCCCAAAAAAGTTCACCTCTCTTGGACGGACCCACCCCCAACCGGACACAGACAACAAATTTGTATAAAATTGTGTAAATAGCCCAACGCGAAGCCCTAAGCAACAGACGTGAGACACCAATTTATGGCATGGAATGCACTTTAAACACCAAAAATAAAGTTGGGGATTGTCCAGAATATACAAAATACGCAGCTGGAGCATGCACATCCGAATATTCTTGTGATGATGATTAAAATAAATTCTTAAAGGACGATAAGGCTGCGTTTAAACATTTTAAAAATCTAGAAAGCCATATGCAAAATAAACATATGTGCGTGAAAGAAGCAAGAAGCACTTATCACAAGATATACATACATACGTAATATATACCTATATACACATCATGAAACAGTATTTTTGCTTGTTACACACATACAAAAACTAATACTAATGCGAAAAATAGCTTCGCGCTTGTGTCTAGCTCAGAGTTGATATAAAAACCTAGGCAGCATTCATAAATATGCACAAATCAACACAAAACAACATATGAAAACAAAGCAAAATAAAGTAAAAAGTTTCGAGCTTGGTGTAACTGACTTTGCAATACCCTGTTCACCATGTAATTCAAGAATAAATCAGAGCTGTTTGATAACTTTTAGACACTATTATCTTAATAATATACTAATATACCTTATATATATATTTTAAGACTAATCTCTTGTTTTGAGTACGGCAATTAAGACTTCATCTACACCGAGAGGCGGATATTTCCCTTTTGAGTTTGTGAACAGGGTACAAAAAGTGCATGCAGGAGATGTAAGAATGCATTCACTGGCACTTAAACGTGTTGCATAATTCAAGTGGCATTTATTCAGAGCCAATGCCCTGTGCAAGCATTCTAGAAACGGAAACACAAGTCCAAAAGGACACAGCCAAGCAAAAAGCAGAAAGCAGAAAGCAGCCTTTGATGAGTCCAAGAGCGAAAGCCAAAACAGCTCCATCTGCTTAGCAGCATATTGAGGCCGACCATAAAAGTATCTAGCGAGAGCATTTCAAAAGGCTATTGGATATGAATATGGATATGGCCTGTTTGCCTCGTTGCCACTTAGGATCACACAACCCACTTTGTTTATGCTCCGAATGTGTACTGTGAGGAGTTGGATAAGGCCCAAGTGTCGCCGCTTATGCATAACCCAATTATGGTAATCTTGGCAGCCCAGGCTGTGAGGCAGGATTAGATGTAAGAAGTTACTTACCCGCTGGTGTACGAGCACGTGATCCATATCAGCATAAGATCATAGCGCATTAGAGCTTATCATGTCTGCTTGCTCGAATTATTTTAATAACGCATAAGGGCTGCCGCTTCTTTTGCGCCAACCTCCCAACTACAATAAACAATATGGCCAGGGCACTGGGTTATCTTTTTACTAGTTTTTGGCTATTTGCACTGTTCGTCCATTGGTCACTAACACAAATTTGTAGATGTTTACATTTCATTTAATTTTCGCACTTATTTAGCTTTTAATAACACGTTCTTTTTTGGACATAAGCACGTTTTAATTATGTGACATCGCAATGAGCAGAACAACCCTGTTTATCGTCTATCGATAGCGAAATTCATCGTGCTTGCTTATCGTATACATTTGTAATCGATTAAATAGTGCCAAAATAATATAAGCAAAAGCTTTGGGTTTGCTCAGATGCATGATCCAGATTTTAAGAGCTGCATTTAAAAAGGCTCGTCTGAGTCCACAAACGAATTTCGCAACTACTGCGCAAAGTTGCTTGACTTAAAAGCAAACGTGCGATGCATTGCCCAACAACCCCCCCCCCCTTCCGCCTAACAACTGCTTTAAATGAAAGTGCGGAAGAGGAGGCGGAACACTTTAAATTTTGTGCCTTAACATCGCGAACCATGAACTGCCTTGATAAATTGTGCTCAGAGAGAATATACATATGTACATCTATTTTAAGCTATCAACATAGGATGGAGTTACGTTTTTAAGCGGCATTTGACAACACTTGGTACATATATGTAATACACATACATATACATATGTATGAATATGTAAATTTAGTACATACATGTTTATAGCGTAAGCATTTTACATTATCAACCAGTTCCTTTTATATTACTTTTATTAAATTGTTATATTAAACAGCGCGTTTACTTCAAATTACACTGAACAAAAGCAGTGGCAACTTTAGGTTTAAATCAATTTGTAGCTTACACGAGTAGCTTAGTACTGTTACCAATTAAATTTATTTTACACAATTTTCAATCACAGTTACATACTACAAATTTGTTACGTTACACTAACCAAATCTTAGCAATCGTTTTCTACACAATATTACCCAGGTAAATTCTCGCAATGCATTCTGTAAAGATGTCAGCGTGTGTGTGTCTGTTTATGCGTGTGTGTGTGTGTGTGTGTGTGTTCTGTGCGTCTTTGTGTGCGTGTGAGTGAGTGTGGGATTGTGGCTGCGCTTCGCGCTGTTAACACGGCCTATGTCTACATTTTGCGATTGTACATTGTCTACATTGTACGAACGAATGTAAGTATGTACAAACATATGTGCATATATGTATGTATGCGGATGTACATACAGACACATATGTAAGCTAACTAGCTAAACTTGAGATGTTTGGGGATTTCGGTTCTTGTAGGCGTTGTGCGCGCTTGTCATTTATGGCACAAGTTTCCTAAATCCAGCACCTTCTTGGCCAAGTTTGAGCTCTTCATAAATTGAGGGATTTACTTCATTGCACTGCGTGTTCGTAAGCGGGTTGTGAAAATGATGCGCCGCATCCGAGAGACCGCGACCATTTCGCTGCTGCCTGCCGCCCTTGGCTGTGGTCCCCGTATCAGGCGCCGCGCCCGTAGTCGTCGATGCGGATGTCGTCATTGTGGCTGCAAGGCCATTGTGATTGTGGCTGTTGCTGCCATTCTGTGCGCCCAGGCTGCTGCCTGTGCTGCTGCTGCCATGCGTGTGATTGTTTCCATTTTGTGTTGTGATGGCCGATGTCACAGTGGGTAACTTTAGTTAGTGTACGTATGTGTGTGTGTGTGTGTGTGTGTGTATTACAATTGAAAACAAAAAGAGGAGAAAGAGACACATTCCAGTTATAACAGACGCGTAAATAAGTACATTTTACAGTCTTTGCTGCTGGCTTATGACGGGATTGTAGCAATAGTTAATAGACAATGTACATACCTGCACCTGTTCCAGGCCACGTGTATAGGTAGGATTCTCGAAGGCCACGTTGCCATTGCCGCCCGCCTTGCCATGATGGGAGCGGTGACGACGATAGAAGACAATGGCAGCTGCCGCTAAGAGGATGGCCAAAATGCTAGCGACAATGCCGCTGATTGTGCCAACGGCGCTGGAGTAGCTGCTGGTGGCCGAGGTGACCTGCTGTTCGCCTAGGGTGAATCTAATCGGATCGGTAAGTACACTGGCACCTGTGAGAGAAGTCGCCAAATTAAGCCTAGCCTTAATACACAGCAAACAGTCGAGTTCGTTCGAAAGTTCACCCACCGTATGTATTGCCAGCCTTTACCACCAGCTCGTACAGCACGTCCTTCTTCAGGCCATTAATGCTTATTGTTGTGTCCTTTACGTCGATGCGTTGAATTTCCACAGCGCCTGCTATTCTGTTGTTGTTATTGCTGTTGCCCATACTTGTTGCATTATTCATGGAGGCTAGTGTATCCAGGCCAGGCTCCATCGAAGATTCGTTTGGCTGTGCCGCCGACAATGGCGGCAGCAAGGCGGCCTCATGGTAATATATTCTATAGCCGTCGACGGCATTTGGATTCTTTGTTGGAGCATCCCATCTGTAATGAAATAGTTTTCAGACCTTGTGCATGGCGCCATATTATGAGTGGTAATATTGTTGCAGGCGCAAAACTTGTCTGGAATTTTAATAAATTTAATGCGGACTAGCATCTCGACCAAACCCCACCTCCCAACGCCCACTATCCACCACCCACCAGCCATCGCCCACCATCTGCCATCCGCCATCCGCTGTGCACAAGTAGCGATCCGAGCTTGTGTGCGCAACCTTTGACGTTGACTAAGTGTATTAAAGTGAGATAAAAATCTCAGCTTTAATGGATTTTGCGGTCTATTAGTGCAGTCAGCAGCAGCAGCAGCAGCAGCAGCAGCTGGCACGCACGGACTGGTGGCGACTTCTGGCATACAGAATCGGAGCGTAATGAATGTATTGGCTTGTGAGGAAAATGGATGAGTTCACTTCCGGCAAAGCAATGAAAATGTGTGTGTGTTTGGGGTTCGCTGGGCCGGACATAGTTAAGAGATTAAATTTGATAGGTTCAAATGAAATGAAATGTGTTGAAGAAACTTTGTTACTTGCCGCTCTAGCTGGGCACTTACTTTATGTTCACCTCGTTGTCCGACAGCACGCTCACCACAACATTCTCTGGGGGCCCCGGCAGGCGGTCGCGGTTCTTTTCAAAGCAGCCAATGATAGTCCTGGCATACTGCAGACTACAGATTTCCTTAGAGCGCACCGAATCGCCACGGCACCAGTTCAGGCACTTGCGTGGCACCTGCTCGTCGGCGCAACAAGATCGATGGTCCGACCCATCGGCGGCGCACTTCATCAACTTGTCAAAGTCGACGATGCACTCGGGTCTGTTGGCTATTGCGTCAAAGTCCACGTAGTACGTGCAAGCATCCCGACAGGTCAGCGATACGTTTTGCTCAGCGCAGCATTGCGATACATTCCGGCTTAGATTGGGCGTATTGCGTATACGCACCGATACTGGCGTCGTGGACGAGCCAAATGGATTCTCCGCATGGCAGAAATAGTCACCCACATCGTTGGCTTGCAGCTTGCTGATGCGCAGCGACATTGCGTAAATTGTGGAAACATTCGTGACCGACACGTAGTAATTGCCGCCCTGTGGCACGGGAACGCGCCCGTCGTGATCGCGCCAAAAAATGGTCTTCGGTGCCGGTTTCGAGTCCACCATGCAACGCAGCTCTACCTCATCCCCAATGGAGGCGACAGTTATGCCAGCCGCTTGAATCTTGGGTGGATCTGTTAAAAGGGCCAGACGTATTAAGTGCTTGATTTGTTCCTGTGTTTCGCATTCGGTCACAACTTACAGCAGATATTAACGCGTCTGGTGGCTTGCATGGGTACACCATAGCCATTGTCCGCGTAGCACGAGACGTGCTCCATGTCCGCGGAAACATTGTGTATGACTGTCACCATGTGCCGGGAAGTGTCCTGCCGCACCAAGTGACCGCCCACGTACAGCGATATTGTAGGCGCCGGGTTGCCCAGAGCCAGACACAGAATGGTCATAGAGCCGCCCTCGGGTATGTTGTCAACCGGATGCACTGTTGGGGGCTGTCGAAAAGGCATTTTCAATGGCAACTCTTTTGCAGTCTAAGTAACAATTAAGCAAATTACATCCACGAAGGCGGGCAGCGCAGGATCCGTCCAGGCCACAAGCGTCTCTGAGGGCAGCGATGTCGCCCGCTCGCCAACCGCCTCCACATAGAGCACATGCTGCGAGCTGGGCTTCAGATTGGTCATGCGCAGCCAGGCCAATTTCGTCTCGATTTTGGTAAAGTCCGCTGCGTTCATCGCCTTGTGGTAGACTCTGCAATAGGCCGGCTTAGTCACATAATGCTTACACGCCCCACTTATCCCCTCACCAAGTCTCTGGCTCACCTGTAGGTAATGCGCTCGTGCGGGTGCGAGTACTCTGACGGCTGCCAGGTCAGCTGCATCCAGGTCGCGCTATGGGTAAGCACGGTCAGCGAATGAGGCGGCGATGGTGCGCCCCAGGTTCCGTTCTGATATTCAGCTGCAGAGACACAACAAGCCGGTGCAACAACAATTTAGAGGCATATGCAACATGCGTGCTGTAGCTGGTCTGACCAAAATCAAGCGAGCAAATCACGCGGCATTGACAGTCCGACTTCGAGTTGACCCCAAATGCAAAGACCTCACAGACTTACCTTTTTCGCCAGCACTTGTCGTATTTATCAGCAGCATTGATGCCGGCAGCGATGTGCCAAATTTTCCACGCGCCACAACCATAATGCGATATAAGGCATTCTCTTCCAAATTGGTCAGATCTATGCTCGTCTCGTTGGTGGTCAATTCCTAAGTGTAAAATTACGTAGATACGTAGTACAAAAGCAGATTAGCCAGTGCGAATGCTACCTCGACTGCTGGATGTCCTGTTCTTATATATTATATGGAATATAATCTTACAGTATCAGTTGTAGAAGAGGTTATCAAGGTAAAGTATTGTCCAATATAGACATATGTTGTATCATATATAGAATACGACACTCTGACTCGAGGTTGTTCGACTGGGCGATGCCCTGTAGTTATATTATATGAAATATTATTGTAAAATATCTTACAATTTCAGCTGTAGAAGAGGTTATCAAGTAAGAATATTGTCTATGGTTTAATATATATAAAATACGACACACTGAATGAACTCATAGGAACTTGCGACAATATGAGTTTGATTTTAGTTTGTGAGACAAAAAATATCAGGATCAGCTATGCTCTTCCATGACAGCCAAAATGATACTCTTTACCTTCTTTTTTTGGGTAACGAGTATTCAAAATACGCATTAGCGAGACACACATAGATTCAAACAAATTGTTCAGTGCATTCTGCGGCTGCGACTGCGGCAGCGGCTGCGGCCACGTTTTAACTTGATTTCGCTGAGAGGCATGTTGTCATGTTTAGCAGTTTTTGTAATTGCTGCAAAGTAGCGCAATTTGCGGTATTTAGCCACAAAATGACACCGCCAGCTAAAACTAACGCAGCTGCCAACGCATTGCGATGCGATGCGATGGCATTGCCAATGTCGCTCGCATCTGGCGTCAAATTGTTTCCAAACTCATCGCCAAAATTGACAGCTTCAACATACAGATGCACAAACTAAGTATGTACGACATTCGATACTCTAGCATACAGCATTCTCATTCGACCCACATTTAAAATCATTAGCTAATCATGAAACGCTTTTCGAACTCTCACCCATATGATTTTTTGCACGTCGGGCAACGGGCGGGGAATAACTGCGGCTGACTGCGAATACTCGCGTATCCATGTAAATTAAGATACACAACAACACGAAGCCGTTGCAGTTCAGCGAAATTGACTTTTTTGCACCACAACAACCATTATAGCTCGTTTTGTTTTACAATTTACCATTTTTTAAGTACTCTCATTCTCGTTTTGTATTCATTTCAGTTGTTGCAATAAAATAAATTATAGTTCCGTAATTTTGCTACAGGTAGTAAATATTTCAAACTCAGCTGGAACAAACCCTTAAAATTAAGTTGAATGAAAGCTCAATAATTCTCAAAATCAATTAAGAATATTAAAAATAATTATTTTCTAAAGCCTTTACGAACAATCGGGAGATGAAGTTGTACACATTCGTAGGCCACGTTAGCTAGAGTACTTAGTATTCGGCGTGCTTTCTGTTTAATAGTTAGGGTACATCTTCTTGACTAATCTGTGCTCACGCGTTGCTGCCACTATTTACTAGATATAAACACTCAACGCGATTTAATCTACGTCCGCTCCGCACGAGGCATTGACATTTTGGTAAGTAAGTCAATGCCAGGCCTCTGAAGAACAAACAATTAATCATATGATATCTCTAAAGTTGATGCAGCTTTATTTATTTTTTTTTTACTGCTGTTGCACCTCTTAATATGTAAGAATGCCTTATGCATGCATGAATGTCTACGGTTGCCTCCCTCATTTGGACATTTGTAACACACTAGACGGAGAACAGAGAACAGAGATATCCAAAAAGTTAATAGTATAATTAAAAGGTTTACACATTTTAGAAGTACCCCGATATGGTTTATCTAGCTGCTGTTATATTTAATCTGTGCTTTAAAAAGGCATATCTCAAAATGACCAATTTTCGATATTTTGCTTTTATAGTTTCCTAGCTTACATGTCAGACGGGCGAACAAACGGATAAGTCTATATGGACTCCACTCTGATTACGAATATATATACCTTGTCAGGTCGAAGATGCCCATTTCTGTCACAAAACTAATATGTATAACCCTGTTAACCATTTTCAATTCATTTTAATGTATTCAAGAATGTAGCTGGGATTTCGTGGGGAATGGGGAAAGGGATCAGATGTGTTATCATATGTGACAGAACAGAAGGTCAGCAAAGAAGTGATGAAGCTATTAATACAGGTCATGAGTATATATGCTTTTTAGAATGGGTTTGTTAGATTGCTTGGGACTTTATTTGTAAAATAGCTTCATATAACGAAATGAGTATTATTAGCAGGCCATTAGTATTATAGCCACCTGACAGTCTGTCTTTTTCAAGTCACTTATTGTATCTCTTTCAAGGAAAAAATACGAAAAACCACAATCGAAATGTGCCGCAAGTGGCATATTTAGATTACTCGAACGAACCAGTCTCAAATGAATAATTAATACGAGCACAAGCACGTGCGGGAAGGTGTGCCAGGAAGGTGAGGCTAGGTGAGGCGAGCTGTGGCCCTGCCAGCTGCAGAGCGAGAAGCAATTACCAAAAAGGAAAGCAAGTGCTTAAGCAAATAAATATGCAAAGAGCATAGCGCTGCGTGAAGCTGGGTCGCATCAACCGCTCAGACTAAAGTCCTTTCGGCCATACAATTACGTCCCAAGGTGCTCATTTTCCTCTTTTCCAAAGTCTTTTCCTTCTCCACAAGCCATCTCTCATCCCAGGTAGCAAGTGCATAGGAATGTGTAATATATCTAATTGGTCGTCGAACTGCAGTCTGTGCACGAATTTTATCATTTCCTTGAGAAAGCATATTAAAAAGTTTTTATGGCCATCATTTAGGTTGTATTTGATAACGAACAAAAAACTCACATGTTCTTGGCAGTAAAAATCATTGCAAAAGTTACCTATACAAAACTCAAGTTTATGGCCCCAACCAACACCAATTCCGGGGCTCATTTCGGAGGAGATAGAATTCCTTAGAGATAGAAGTAAAAAATCTGGCTTGACGACCTATTAGGCTCTTTGGGCGCTACCCAACACTGTTTGCAGAAAATCCTAGTGGATGTTATCTAATTTCATAGGTAATTGCTTAAGCCATGATTTGTTTACTCAGAAAGCGTAAAAGATTTTTAAGTTTTGATGGATCTCAAAGTATTAATGGTAATTTTTCTTTCCTCAACTAACTTTGCTTACGAAAACAAAATTAAAATTTCCAAGCAAGTGTAAAATTATGCTACAGAATTAAGCACTCTCAGCTGCATCTCTTTATACTTGTAAATTATGGTGTGCATCTTCAATACTAAAACTAAGTTAACAACATCTCTGGCTCGTTCTAAAGCAATTAAGTTTA